TCGTGTACCCTAATAAACTTATTTGAGGTCAGAGAACAGACCAGCCACTAGATAGACACAGAGGCCAGAAAATGGTGGTACACATGCCTTGAATCCTAGTATTTCAGAGGCAGAGATCTGTCTGGATCTCTGTGAGTTCAAAGCCACACTGGAAACAGCCAGGCATGGTGACACACGCCTTTAATCCCAGGAAGTGATGGCAGGAAGCAGAAAGGTATATAAGGAATGAGGACCAGGAACTAGAGCCTTGTTAAGCTTTTAGGCTTTTGAGCAGCAGTTCAGCTGAGATCCATTCGGATGAGGACACAGAGGCTTCCAGTCTGAGGAAATGAGATCAGCTGAGGAATTGGCAAGGTAAGGTTAGTTGTGGCTGGTTCTGTTTCTCTGATCTTCCAGCATTCACCCCAATACCTGGCTCCAGGTTTGTTTTTATTAATAGGAGCCTTTAAGATTCGTGCTACAGCTCTGGTCCCTAGTACTTGCTCCTCCCCACAAAAAAGTACACATTTAGTGAAACTATATAAAATGAATGTATTGTGAAGTTACAAGAAGGAAAGTAAACACCTGTGTTTTAATCACCATAATCACCATTGAACCCCCCCTTCTCTCTCCCCAGTGCTAGACCCTTACACACACACTAAACATGTTCTTACACTGGGAAACACACCCAACTCCCATTTCTGTAATCTTTAAACAGGATTAATCTTTTTCTCAATGAAAAAGCAAATTTCTTTTCAAATATAACTACAATATTCATCTTAACCTTATCAAGCACGGAAATGAAATCCAAAACTGGGGGTATCCCTTCTGTCAGATAATGAGTTTAAATCTTTAGCAAGGAATTCAAGGGGTGGGGTGGGGGGTATGAGACAGCTGGTCACACCACACCCACGGAGAGCAGAGAGCAACGAGTGCACCATGACGCCTGCCTGCTTGCTGCTTATGCTCACCTAGCTTTCTAACTCAGAACTCCCTGCCTAGGGAATGGTCCCACCCACGGTGGGTCGGGTCGTCCTACACCAATTAACAATTAAGTCAATTACACACACACACACACACACACACACACACACACACACACACACACGTCTACAGGGCAACCTGATCCAGATAACTCCTCAATTGATGCTCTCTCCTGAGGCGACTCTAGGTTTCAGAAAGCTGACAAACACTAGAAGCTCATGCCATGAGAGGGAGCCCATGCCTGACACTGGCTGAAGAGCCAGGATCCAGAGGCTGGACAGCCCAGACCTAGGATAGAACCAAACATGACTGGCCAAAACAGAAACAAGAACAAGCAAGCAAGCAAACAACCTTCCCCACCCCCAATTCAATGAAATGATTCCTAATGACATTCTGCTACACTCATGTATCGGTGCCCAGCCCAATGTCATCAGAGGCTTCATACAGCAACTCATGGGAGATGCAGAGACCCACAGCCAAACAGGCAGAGCTCAGGGAACCCCATGGAAGAGAAGGAAGGATTGGAGGAGCCAGAAGGATCTAGGTCATGAGAACATGGCCCACAGAATCATCTAAGCAGGGCCCATAGGGAGATGGTAGCAACAATCATAGAGCCTGCCTGGGTCTGTACCAGGTCCTCTGCATGTATGTTAGGGTTGTGTAGCTCAGCGCTCTTGTGGGACTCCTAACGTTGGAGGCAGGGGTGTCTCTGACTCTTTGGCCTGCTCTTGGGACATTCTTCCTTCTACTGGGTTGCCTCGTCCAGCCTTGATGAGGGTTTGTGCCTAGTACTATTGTAACTTGTTATGCCGTGTTCAGTTGATATTCCTGGGAGTTTTGCTCTTTTCTGAAGGGAACCAGGGAGGAGTGGATCTGGGGGAGAGAAGGGGAACTGGGAAGAGTAGAGAGACAGGAAACTGCTGTCAGGATGTAATGTATAAGAGAAGAATAAATTTTAAAAAAAAGACCTAAACAAAACAAAAACTAGCTGTCACAGTCTCTAAAACATTCTGTGATTTTTTCTTTTTTTCTTTCTTTTTTTTTTTTTTTTTGTTGTTGTTATTTTTTAAGACACGATTTCTCTGTATAACAGCCCTGGCTGTCCTGGAACTTGCTTTGTAGACCAGGTTGGCTTCAAACTCAAGAGAGAACAGCCTGCATCTGCCTCCCGAGTGCTGGGATTACCACACCCAGCTCTGGTGACTTTTCAAGAGATGACATTCAAGGCCTTTCTTCTGAGCACGGTAGAAGTAGGGGATAAAGAATTCCCTAACAGTACTAGAGGCAGGTCTTACAAGTCACTAACAGCTCCATTGGAAAAGAAAAAGGACAATTACGGGGTTACCTGTAACAGAAATTGGTTCCATACACAACAATCGGCAGAGCAGAATGACAGCCCACAGAGTGGAGGAAACTACCAGCCACACTTCATACAAGGGGCGAGTTTCCAGAACTCACAAAGAACTGCAGAGAATACCAGAGATAAAACTGCCAGTCAGCAAATCAGCAAATGAACTGAAACAACAGTTTAAAAAAACAAACAAACAAAAGTGGCCATAATTAATTTTATTAAAAAGTATTCAATAAACCAGGCGATGATGGTGCATGCCTTTAATCCCAGCACTCAGGAGGCAGAGCCAGACAGATCTCTCGGAGTTCAAGGCCAGCCTGGTCTACAGAGCGAGATCCAGGACAGGCACTAAAGCTACACAGAGAAACCCTGTCTCGAAAAAAGCAAATAAACAAACAACAAACAAAAACAACAGCAAAAAAAGTGTTCAATATCCCTAACCATCAGGCAAATGCAAATTAAAACTAATTTGAGATACCACCTAATCCCAATCAGAATGGCTATCATCAATAAATCTGACAACAAATGTTGGAAAAGATGTGGAGAGAAAGGAAGCTTTATTCACTACTGGGAAGGATGACAATTAATACAGACATTGTGGAAATGAGCTTGGATAGTCCTCAAAAAATTAAAACTAACTAGGCAATGCTGGTGTACACCTTTAATCCCAGCACTTAGAGGAGGCAGAGGCAGGCAGATCTCTGTGAGTTTGAGGTCAGCCTGGTTTACAGAGCAAGTTCCAGGATAGCAGGACTGTTATATAGAGAAACTTTGTCTCAGAAAACCCAAAATAAATAAATTAATAATAAATAAAACTAAAACTACCATATGATTACATTATTTCACTCCTCACATATACCCAGAGAACTTCATACCTTACCATAGAGATATTTACACCCCATGTTTACTGTTGCTTTATTCTCTATAGCAAAGAATTAGAATCAACCTCATTGCCCATCAACATATGAATGGATAATAAAAATCTGATATACATATAATGGACTACATTTTAGCTCTAAAGAAAAATGTGATTACATTTGCAGAAAAATGGATGAACTTTAACACAATCTCAGGAAGAAAAACAATGCATGTTCTTCATACGCAGAATCTAACCAATAATAAATATATACTTATAAATAAATGTATATGTGGGGACAGTGTAACATGCAGAAAATAGAGCAAGAAAGGCTACATATTAGAGGATGAGGAGGGATAGGTATGAAAGGATAGAAAGCTAATTAATTGTCTTTCTAGTTCAACTCAGTTTGGGCGGTGGATAAGTGCTTTACAGTATCTGCAATAGTTCAGTATAACACCCACTGTGAGGCTTCACAGCTTCTGTTCCAACCAGCTACTCAAACTGTAAACAAGTTCACCAAGTTGTCTAGTCTTTGGGCCTGGTTAATTTGGGTAGGTGATTCTTCTTTTATTTGCAGTGCTGCTTTTTTTTTTTTTTTAAGATTTATTTATTTATTATGTATACAGCATGTATGACTGCAGGCCAGAAGAGGGCACCAGATCTCATTACAGATGGTTGTGAGCTACCATGTGGTTGCTGGGAATTGAACTCAGGACCTCTGGAAGAGCAGTCGGTGCTCTTAACCTCTAAGCCATCTCTCCAGCCCCGTAGTACTTTTTTTATAATAAAAAAATTTTAATTAAAAAGGGGGGAGGGGCTGGAGAGATGACTCAGTGGTTAAGAGTACTGGTTTCTCTTCCAGAGGACCTGGGTTCAAATCTGTCATAGTTACAGTGTCTATTGCTGTGAAGAGACACCACAACCATGGCAACTCTTGTAAAGGACAACATTCAATTGGGGTGGCCTGCTTATAGTTCAAAGGTTTAGTCCACTATCATCATGGCCAGAAGCAAGGCAGCATGCAGGCAGACACTGTACTGAGGCTGAGAGTCCTTACATCTTGATCCAAAGGCAACAGGAAGTGAACTGTCTCACTGGGCATAGCTTGAATATAGGAGAACTCAAAGCCCACCCCCACAGTGACACACTTCCTCCAACAAGGCCATACCTCCAAATAGTACCACTCCCTTTGGGGGTCAATTTCTTTCAAACCACCACAAATTACCAGCACCCACACGGCAGCTCACACTTGTCTGTAACCCCATTTCCAGGGCTTCTGACACCCTCACACAGACATACATGTAGGCAAAACACTAATGAACATAAAATAAAATAAATTTAAAGAATGAACAACTGAGTCTAGACTCAATGATTATGAATCCTGAGAGAAACATCAATGTGTGTGCATGCATATGCGTGCGTGCGTGCGTGCGTGTGTGCACGTGTGTGTGTGTGTGTGTGTGTGTGTGTGTGTGTGTGTGTGTGTGTGTAGCACCCAGACTGGGCAGTTTACAACTTGCCTTTAACTCCAGTTCCAGGAAATCTGATACCCTCTTCTGACCCCTGCGGGCACCTATACACTTATGGTGAACATAAACTCATGCAGACACTCACACAAGCATGTGAATAAAAATCTAAAAACAAAAAATTGAGACTATGACATCAATTTAACATTATAAGTTATATGTAATAATGAGTTAGACTGAAAATATGACTCAAAATAACAGAAAACAAATTAATTGAATTTATATGTATATTTCTGTTAGAATATAAATAAAAATATATTTTCATAGCAAAAAGTTTAGGTCAGATTCTTCTTTCAAAGTGTTTTCATGTTTTAATTAGAGAATTGGTTTATTCAAAAAAAATCATTTTATTTACAGTTACAAAATTTCTTAACACACTCAGTGTGTGTCCTATATATTGCAATCAAATACCTGCAGGAATTGGGATCTTATGAATACAGCCAGGACAACAGTGGAGAGAGTCATGAACAAAAACATCACAGTCCACACAGAAAACATTCCGGCACACTGTGCAAACGTAGACCTGCAAGGAAAAGGAGAAAAGTGAATAAACCAAACTGGTTTCCAAAAGTTAAGTCCAGCACAGCCAGAAGACATTTAAAGCCTTGCTCTCTGGTCATCAATTCTCCCTACCCACCTACTTTAGTACTTCCAATGTATTAAATCTAACACAATTTTCTCAAACCCAACACATATGTTCCTCTTACGCTGGACCTTAGGAGTAAGGAGTGACTGTTTTGAGTCCTTAAAGTCCATTCTATTATAGGACATTCATAATTTCTTGCTTTTAAATAACTACTTGGGGAAGACACATGAATGTAAAACCAGTACTAGATTTGAAGGCATTTGCAATTCAAATAAACAGAGCGCACAAAAACTCACTCCAGTTTTGGCTATTCTTAGAGAAGGACCTCTCAGTTCAAAAGCTATATCCCCTATTAAACCTGGAGGAATACGACAAACAGCTGGGAGGCAGGGTAGGTACACACCTATAATTCTAGCACTTAGGAAGTGGAGGCAGGAGGATCGCAAACTCAAAGGTCATGTATCAAGGTCCAGGCCAGCCTGGGCTACAAGATCCTATCTCAAAAAAACAAAACAAAAAATAAAATTAAAAAAAAAACAACAACAAAAAACAAGAGTATGTCAAATGACACATGCTGTGGGGATGTTAATGTATGTCCTGTGGGAGCCCTTCTTGGGTTCCTTGTGGCGTTACCCAGCAGGTTTGCATAGAGGATGATTAGGACCATGGGCCTGAGTGCAGGTGTCTGAGATGGTCTGCACTTGGCTGTACTGGGGGATGGTCTGTATGTCAAGTTGCTCTGATTGGTCAATAAATAAAACCTGATTGGTCGTGGCTAGGCAGGAAGTATAGGCGGGACTAACAGAGAGGAGAAAAGAAAGAACAGGAAGGCAGAAGGAGACACTGCCAGCCATTGCCAGGACAAGCAGCATGTGAAGATGCTGGTAAGCCACGAGCCACGTGGCAAGGTATAGATTTGTAGAAATGCGTTACTTTAAGATAAAAGAACAGTTAACAAGAAGCCTGCCACGGCCATACAGTTTGTAAGCAATATAAGTCTCTGTGTTTACTTGGTTGGGTCTGAGCGGCTGTGGGACTGGCGGGTGACAGAGATTTGTCCTGACTGTGGGCAAGGCAGGAAAACTCTAGCTACAGACACACATAAGACATATAAAAAGAAAAAATGCATTATTTTATCAGCACTACATATGTGGATCCTTACACCTTGGTCTAAGATTTTAAGGGCAACAACATGCAGATTCAAAAATCACTACATTTCGAACATGTAAAGATGTGTTCTTTAAAACTGACAAATGGACCACCTTCTGGAAACATGAAAACTGACCTGAGGACCAGCTTTCATGGTACCGTTAGGGTCCACACTTGCTTTAAAGGAGGAAAGCAACCAACAGTCCTATCCAGCCTATACTGCAACAACAGTCAGTGTGGCACGATAACCCTGAGGTGGCACAAATACTTTAGTGGTAATCCACAGCTCTCTAACTGGACTTAAGGTAGACTCAACAAGAGGGAAATTATGCCTGATACTGGAAACCCAGCCAACTACCCAGGGTTAGTTAAATCATGGATCTTAGAGGAGAACCTACAACCAGTTTACTAAACCAGAAAAAATACTAACTACATTCTAAATATTTGTCCTTATATCCACAGATAAGTGTAATCCTCATCAAGGAAACTTCTCTTTGCAACAGATAGAGACCATTACAAAAAACCACAACCAGTCAAAATGCAGAGTTGTGGAGTCTAGTCCCAACTGATACAATACAACTCCTGCACCTAAGGTTTCAGGATCACGGCAAAAGAGGGGGTAGAGAGATTCTAAGAGCCAGAGAAACAGGGAGTATGTTGTGAGACTGTGTCTCCTAAGAATGTTAGAGAAGCTACACCCAAGAAGTCTCACTAATGTGACAGCCTTAACAGCTGAATAAGGACACCAGCAGACATGCTAACATGGATGTAGGAAAGCCCATGGGACATCAACCAAACACCAAGAACTATAAGCAACCATGGAACACTGAGAGTGGGAGAAATAATCCTCCCGATGGGTTATCCAGTACTAATGGTCAACCCTGAAAACATACATACATAGCATTATACAGACAGAGAAGGTTGTACTTATTTATTTAGGAATGGATGGATGGATGAGTGGAGCTCAAAGCATAAAGCGATTTACCATGCAAACCTCTTGCAGTCCATAAGAATATATTATAGAGATTCAGGTGGATATTAAAGCTATACCTAGAAATTTCAAGGTATTTTTCTAGAGGAAGCCATTTATTATGGAATATTTGGTGTTATTTAGTTTTTAATATTTTAGCTGTCTTCTGCTATGAAATTCTTGTGGGCCCACATACTACTAGACCATACTGGCAAACAGTGTAAGCTTCTCAGATGCTGATCCTCTCTCTTGGTAACTAACTTCCCCACAGATCTTAGGAGACAAGCAGGATGTAGATGCATGGCTTTGCTTCTTGTGCAAATGGAGCTCAAACTATCCCTTGCCTTCAGGCCTAGTGGCACTCCAGAGCAACTGACTCAGAACAAAGGAGGTTTTTGCATATCCAGGTAGAGTAAAGAGTGAGGCAGAATTCCTAGGGGCAGAGAGTTGTGGTGAGGAGAGGAAAAACAAGGCAGATTTTCTGTGGAGGGTAGACAGAGCTGCATGGCCAGAAAGACAAGAGAAAGGCAGAGATTTTGTAGATGGTAAGGCAGATCTCTTGTAGAGTTTATCAGGGCCAGGAGTAAGGAGCTAGGAAGGATAGATGGAGGACAAAGGAACAGAGGATGGAGATGAGGTCAAAAGCATAGGAGCTTATGGAAACTATGAGGACAGGAAAAATAGGCACAGAGAGGAGCTGAATGTGAGGATGGAGATGAAGCTGTATAGATAGAGCCGGGTGGTGGTGGCGTACACCTTTAATCCCAGCACTCGGGAGGCAAAGTCAGGTGAATCTCTGTGAGTTCAAGGCCAGCCTGGGCTACCAAGTGAGTTCTAGGAAAGGCCCAAAGCTACACAGGGAAACCCTGTCTCAAAAAAACAAAAACAAAACAAAACAAAAAAAATTGTCATAGAGGAATAAAGTAAACAGACAATGAGCTTGGTGTACTTAGATTCTTTTCCCAAAAATAATCCTCACTGTTCATAGTTTCTCTTCTGGGCCCCTGGGAAGAATATCATTAAGGCTGGTCCATTAATAATATTCGAGACAAACCTGAATTTGATCCCCAGAACCTATATAAAAATTGAAGGAGAAAAATGGCTTCCAAAAGTTGTCCTCTGACCTCCACACATGCACTGTGGCATTCATATGCTCACACTCTTACATATACATTATTCTCTCATACACACTAATAATAATACATTTCAATGCTGCCAAATGATTTTTTTTTAAAGTGACTATGGTGAGGATGAAGCTACTGACAGAGAAAAATGCAAAACCTTCTTGTTCAGTGCAGGGATTCAAACCCAGGGCTTCATGCATGCTAGGTAGGTGCTCTACCACTGACCTATTCCACTGGTACCAAGGAATAAAAAATTTAATGAAAAGAAGAAAACATTTCTCTTTCTATTTATTTTATTATTATGTATTTATTTTTGAGAAATGGGACTATGTTGTCCAGACTGGTCCAAAACTTAAGATCCTCCTGCCTCAGCCTCCTAAACAGCTGGGACATCATGTACCTGCTATTGTAGCTACGTTAATAAAACTCCTTATTTGTGAGAGCAAGCAGGGCACGGTAGCTCAAGCTTGTGATCTCAGCACTCAGGGTGCTACCGTGGCCAGCTGTAAACTCTGCTGTGTCTTAAGATGAGAGCTCACTGCACTGCCCAGGCTGGCCTTGAATTCCTAGGTCAAGTGTTTTCTTTGCCTTACCAACCCAACAGCTGAGATTATAGGCGCATACCACTACACCTGGTTCTGCCTTCAAAAAAAGTTTACAGTATTTTCTTACTAGCACAATGTTTTGTTTATGAACCCATAGTGCTAATTTCAAAATAAATTACAAGATTCTAAAGTATAATACTATAATATTTTTAATATTTTTACACTAACACAACTTACCTTGAAAAACTGAAGCAACAGTATTAAAATCTCTGTGCAGTAAATTAGAATGAGAATGACAAAGCTACTGAAATGACTTTGTTCCCATTTTAACTCTACTTAGTGTCTTTATAGGGAACAACCTGAGATAAGCCTGGCCTTCAATAATCTACTTACAACTTATGTCCTTGTCTCAATATTTCTTATGTATTACTTAATGATGATAAAGTCAATGAACTTACATGTTGGTCTTTCAACTCCCCCTGACATCCATAACAAAATCTGAAGAAAAAAAAAAAGTTTGACAATCATTTTTTGTTTTCACTCATTAAAATAATTTAGCAAAATCTTAGTACCTAGAATCCTTTAATAAGTAATTGTATTTATACACAACAACCCTTAGGGAGCATTTTAAGAAGTCAATAGTTCTTTTATTCTTACAGTATGGGCTATGGCACACTTGTTATAGTCCAGCCTGTTGTCCCCCACAGTATACCCAATAAACCCCCTTTATAATTCCTCAGAACAAGAAAAATTATACAATATGTCCCAGGTTATCACATAACCCAAAACTTAGTTCGTATTTTCATTTAGATTAAACACACACATTCTTTCTGAACTAAAATTCTATAAGAATTTGTCCCTACAAAAGATATTTGAATTACTATTTTCCAGTTCTCCAAAATATGGTGAATAGCAGTGAACCCTAGGAGGGCACCAAGGAATGCTATGTATAATGGATGCCTGTGGCTTTTTTTTCTAGGACTAGTTTTAAGAGTTAAGAGTTCTTGGAAATGGGGCTGGTTTATACCTCAGTGGTAGAATACAACCTCAGCATATACAAGGCCCTAAAATCAAAACATAGCATCATCCCTGACCACAGGTTCTCAGAATTTATTACAAAACAGCAATCTTAGCTGGGTGGTGGCAGCTCACACCTTTAATCCCAGTACTTGGGAGACAAAGTCAGGTGGATCTCTGTGAGTTTGAGGCCAGCCTGGTCTACACAGTGAGTTCCAGGACAGCCAGGGCTACACAGAGAAACCCTGTCTTGAAAAAACAAAAAGCAAACAAACAAAAACATAGCAATCTTTATTTTATTCTCACTTCACTTCTACCTCCCCAGAAGCCTTCAAAGTCTCTTCACAGAGGGCAAAAAAGATGGCACAGCTATTAAAAGCACTTGCTGCTATTCTCAAACCCACCATCAGATGGCTCACAACCTCCTGTAACTCCAACTCCAGGGGGCTCCAATACCTCTAGCCTCCACCAGCACCTGCACTCACATGCATATGTCCACACACATACACATAGGTGAAAATAACAAAAGCTTTTTTAAAAATTTAACTGACACACTTAATAAGTGGTCAGTTTTAACTTTTTTATAAGTCTTTATAAGTACTAGCTATGAGCCTCCATGGAAGAATTTAATTCTCTTTTAACCCTCTTGACCTAATAATGTGTATACGTATCTAACTAATATCACTGTTGGTATTTCTAAAATCATCAACTTATAGGAAACAACATTCACTATTTACTTCATTATATATTATAAATATTTCAGCTATGACAAGTAATACAGTATAGCTTTTTCTCTTTTTTAAAAATGTATTTATTTTCATTTCATGTGCATTTTGTTTTGCTTGTGTGTCTGTGTGAGGGTATCAGATCCCCTGGAACTGAAGTTACAGACTTGTGCACTGCTGGGAATTGAATTGTGTGCTGGGAATTGAACTTGGATCCTTTGGAAGAAAAGTCAGTGCTCTTAACTGCTGAGCTATCTCTCCAGGCCCCTTTTACTCTTTCTTCGTGTGTGTGTGTGTGTGTGTGTGTGTGTGTGTGTGTGTGTGTGTGTGTGTGTTACGGGTAAGTGATGGTGCACATGCCGGTACATGTGGAGGCCAGAGGTCATTACCTTGTTGTCTTTTTCTATTCATCTCCATCTTATATTGTTTGTTTTACCAACTCAAACTTATTTTTAAGATAATGTCTCTTACGGAACATAGAGCTCATTGATTGGCTAGATCAGTTGACCAGCAAGCCCAGGAATCCTCTGCATCCCCAGTGCTAAGATTATAGCCACACACTGCTGGGCCTGGGTCTTACTTGAGTGCTGGGGATCTGAACTCCAGACCTCAGGTTTGCATAGCAACAGTAAACACCTCACCAACTGGGCCATCTCCGAAGCCCCAAATTTTCCTCTTTTAAAAAGACTTTTTTGGTGTTAGGCGGTGGTGGCCCACACCTTTAATCCTAGCACTCAGGAGGCAAAGCCAAGTGGGTCTCTATGAGTTGGAGGCCAGCCTGGTCTACAGCGTGAGATCCAGGACAGCCAGGGCTACACAGAGAAACCCTGTTTCGGGGGCTGGGGTAGACAACAATTTTACAACATTACCAAAATCATGTAACTTTGACTCAGCACTTCTACCTGAGAATTTGTTATGTACATTTCTGTACAAATATTCAGAGATATAGACATGAACATTACTTGTTAATAGCAAAGAAATGATGGTAAATATTCAATAGGAAGCAATTGGTTATATATGTATTATATATATATATATATATATATATATATATATATATATATATGTTTATAAACGAAACATCCATGAAATATGAAGCACTTTTAAAAACAAAAGTGACTAGACATGCCTGTTTGAGATCACTTCTTTTCCCTATATGGTATGTGTGTGCACACAGAGGCAGAGGTTGATGTGGGGTGTCCTCCGCAAACATTCTCTACCTTGTTTTAAGAATCAGCATCTCTTATTGAACCTGGAGCTCACTGAATGGCTGGTCTAGCTGGCCAGGGAACCCCTAGGGTCCTCCTGCTGCTGCCTTCCAATGCTGACATTACAACAAAGTGAGGCCACATCTAGCATTTTTTCATGTGGGTGCTGGGTATCCAAACTCATACTTCATACTTACATAGTAAATAAATACCCTTACCCACTGAGCCATCTCTCTATCAGCATATGAAATTTCTTCCATACTATTTTTAAGTGTGAAAAGTGATGAATGGATGCATAATTATTTGGTGATCAAATGTTCCCAAATGCTGATGCTCTTGAAAACAGTAAATATTTATTTCCTATAATCCAGCCAGGTAGTGGTGGTACACACCTTTAACCTCAGCACTCAGGAGGCAGAGGCAGGTGGATCTCTGAGTTCAAGGCCAGCCTGGTCTACAGAGTGAGTTCCAGGAAAGCCATAGCTACACAGAGAAACCCTGTCTCGAAAAACCAACAAACAAAAAAAAGATTTCTTTTCATTTTAATTATGTATATGCATGTGTGTCTATGTGTGGGTCTGTGCAGCTGTGCAGATGAGTGTAAATGCCCATGTAGGAGAGAAGGCACAGAATCTCCTAGAACAGGAATACAGGCAGTTGTGAGGTACTGGGAACCCCATCTGGGTCACCTCCAAAAGCAGGACATACTCCTAACCACTGAGCCATCATTCCAGCCCCACCCCCAGCCCCCACTCCCCACCATCACTCTGAACTACAAATATGTGGATTTAGGGAAATAAACAAACTTCTGGGAATAGAGTATTCTCCATTTCATTTTCTATATTAGAAGTACTTATACACAAATTGATATGACCTTAGGTGATAATTGTTTCAAAGTTTACCACTGTAACATAAAAATTAATCAAAACTATATACCTTTCTCCTTTATAATCTTCCAGGGAAACTTCTTGAAAAGCATCCAAAGGAAATAAATGATGGTAAGATCGTGCCAAGTGAGGAGCAGACACCAAAGTAAGACCTAATGCATAGACAGAAATATTAATAAGCACAACCTCATAAGACAATCGCTGAAAAGTCAAATGATACACTTAGGAAAAATACTTTCAAGTGTTTTATTTCTATAAATAAAGGGGAGGGGATCAAATCTAGGGCCTCACACACACTAAAAAACTGCCATTATGCTACATATCCAGCATGCAAGTATTTTTAGGATCTTGAGTGTTTTTTATCTGTAGCCATAATAAAAAGATTCCAGGATAGAATTTACTCTGTCACTAAATGTATGACCTCTCTTGGAAAACTACTGACTTACTCAAAAATGAAAGAAGATCTTAGAATTATATTAATTCCTCATTCTACTTATATATGATGATTCTATTAAAAGCCCAAGTATGTCTACTATTAAATCTATTATAGTTTTTAAAGAATACATTTATCAGAAAGAGAATCATGAAACTTCAATAATGCTATGTTTATTCTTAGAAGTGTACTACTGCTATTTCCTTTGTACAAATTAAATACATAATAAGCAGGACTCGATAATTATGTTTTTTCAGCGGCTATACAGAAAGGAAGTTACTTTATACTAATTCCCTATGTAAAGAATAACAGGGTTCTTACCACATATTTTACACTCCACAGGAAGCTCAGAGTACTTTGCTCGACACTGTGGGCAGAAATAGCCTCCCAGTGTAAGTCCTGGCTCAGTGCTATTATCCAAATGCCTATGGGAGAAAACAGTTTTTTGTTTTTGTTTTTGTTTTTTTTTGGTTTTTCGAGACAGGGTTTCTCTGTGTAGCTTTGCGCCTTTCCTGGAACTCACTTGGTAGCCCAGGCTGGCCTCGAAACTCACAGAGATCCGCCTGCCTCTGTGTCCCAGTTATTTATAAAAGGTGAAAAAAGCTAAAGAAAATATCTAACTCGATCTCAGCACTCAGAAGACAGAGGCAGGCAGATCTCTGTGAGTTCAAGGCCAGTCTGGTCTAATAATGAGTTCCAGGCCAGTCAGGGCTACAAAGTGAGACACTGCCTAAATATATATATCCAATATATATATATATATTGGATAAATGAGTAAAATTTCATTTGGAAACATATATGTCCCGTCACTCACTGATGGTGTCCCTTCTGTCTTCCTTTTATTTTGAAGTTTCTCCTGCTGTCTCTGGATTCATTACTTTCTCTTTCTCTTGCAGTAACTAATCTGTTAATCCCATGCAGTGTGTTTTTTTCTTTTTAAGCTTTATTGTGTGTGTGCGCGCGTGTCTGTGTGTGTCTGTGTGTGTCTGTGAGTGGGTGTGTGCACATGAGGATAGGTGTCCAGAGACAGAGGTGTTAGAGTCCCCTGGACCTGGAGATGCCCAGTGTAGGCACTAGGAAGCGCTGAACCATCTCTCCAGCCCTCCAGTGCACGTTCATCACAGGTAATACACTCTCCATTTCTAGGAGTTTGAGTCTTTTTACACATTTTCAAGCTCCCCTTCACTTAGAGACTTTATAAAGTGTATTCACATTGGCTATTTTAATCGTCATCTCCTAATTCTAGTGTTTTCTGGCTGCTTCCATTCTGTAATTTTTCTGTTATCTTTGTTCTCTCCTATTCTCTCTCTAGGGAAATTCCCCCCACACCCATTTCTTCCCTCCTCCCCATCCCCTCCTTTACCCCTCCCCTTGCCCCTCTCCGCCTCCATCTCTCCTCAGGTCTCTACATAACCCAAGCCAGCCTCCTAGTGGCCATGACCCTCCCATCTCATCCCCAAGTGCCGGCATGTAACGACGTACATCAGCACCGCTGGCGGCCCAGCTGCTTCCGCATGCTGTCAGCTGTTGTAAGTTGTGGTGTTCTGGGAGCTAACTTTTTTCTCCATAAATATTTAGAGCTTTGTTTTAGAATAAAGTAACTTGGCCGGGCGGTGGTGGCGCACGCCTTTAATCCCAGCACTCGGGAGGCAGAGCCAGGCGGACCTCTGTGAGTTCAAGGCCAGCCTGGTCTAGAGAGTGAGATCCAGGACAGGCACCAAAACTACACAGAGAAACCCTGTCTTGAAAAACCAAAATAAATAAATAAATAAAGTACCTCAGATACTTAATGATCTATTCAAAATCTGTTTGAAGTATCACTAGTCTGGTCTAGATCAGCCACTGACCTAATCTGGTCCCATTCCTATGCTCTACCAAACGTCTTATATGCAGCCTTTTCCACTTGGCTCTGTCCCAGCTCTCCTTCCCTTTTTATTCTGAGAAGAGCCTCCTCAAGTTACCCAAGCACCTACCAAGGTTAACTTTTTTTTACTTTCTATTCCCACTATTATTTTTATCATTAGAATAAACAAGTAAATACATCTACTCACAGCTGCATCTTTATTTTATTTTTTTTAATGGCTTTTTGAAATAGGATCTCATTCTATAGCCCAGAGTGACCCAAACTCAAAACTATCACCTTGTCTCAAGTCTCCAGAGTCCTGGAATCACAGGTGTGAGCCGGCATGCCTCCCCCACCTTTAATTTAGATGACTGGAAATATATTATATATTCTACCTTACCACTTTATTTAGTAATATATCCTGACTATCACAGCAGAGACATATACAAAGAGGGTCATTTCTTTTTATGGTTATGAAAATCATTATATTTTAAGACCTATTTAAGTTAAAACTTAAGAGGAATGAATTTTAAATGAAATATCACTGAAAATTGTTCTTTACTTACGCCATGCTAAAGGATGGTTTTGCATCCTGATCAGACAAAGAAGCAATGGTGTGCTGAGGGAAACCTTTATAAATTAAAAAAAAAAGTAAGGCATTACTTTTTTTTTTATAAGCAAAGAACAGAATTTTAGGACTATGAATCTAAAAATAGTCCTATCAGAAGGTCAACAAAGTTGTATAAAAGCTCTTTCCTACCCCTTAAGTATATATGTGCCTATCATAATATGATGAAACTCTAATTCCAAGATATAAGAAAAAGGGGAATGATCTAGCTACACATAGGACAGAGGAATCTGTGGTTGATTTGTAAAACAAATAGAAAATCTCTTAATAAAAAAATGTGTAACAAAAAAAAGAAAATAAAATACCTTTGTATCTTCCTAGCTTAACAAGAAGGCCAGAAGTGTTTGCATATGGCATGACTATAGGTAGCTTTAAATTTCTCTTCATTGTATAAACATGCTTCAACATGCATTTTTTTATTATAAAGGACTCAAGTAAGAAAAAAACTCTTAAATGTTAAAACGATAACTTGCACAAATGAAAACAGAATGCCTAGTTTGAACAAAAGCCCACATGCAAACCAACACCAAAGAAACACATACCCATACGAATGAGTGAGCACTCGGAGCTGGAGCTGGCAGGGGGAGGGCTAACATGATGGGTCAGCAGCTCTTTGTAATGGACTTCATCTAAAATAACATGGTATGTGCCTAACAAGCAAAATCAAAACACAGCAGTTATAAAGACAAGAGCATCTGTGTAAGTCTATAGAAGTTTCATCCTATGTAAATATACAATTCATAACCACGTCAAGTAAATTTTCATTGAAAAAATAATTTACGTAAACTCTCAAATTCTCTAGGCATAATAGTAACTAAAATTAAAGCCAAGCTACACAGTCTTTACAAAGTATTACATATAGTGAGGTTACTAACTTTTTGAAAGTTATAACCCTAAACATTGACCTACTGAAAATTCCTTGCATTTTAAGTGGTTGCTTAGAAAGGTCTATATTTTAGACTACAATGGTCTATATTTTAGACTACAGACATAAAATGGTTTAGGCTTAATGGTGTAAAACATCCTACTTAATTAATAAATTATTTCTTACACAGTAATTATAATTATTGAAGATAGTAGATATATACCACCAGTTTCACGAGCAAGTACAGTGCAAACTCGAACCTCTGCAGACAATCCAATAACAGACACTCTAATTTTAGCTGCCTTCAGGGTCTTCATGAGATCCAAAAAGATGGAAGATTTCAGGAGAAAAAGAAAAATACTTATGAATAATAACTCTGAAAAATAGTGTTCTGAAAACTAGTGATAAATTTACTACAGCATTTTCTTTAGAGTCTAGTTTCAGTTTTGGTCCTACCTTGATGAGATCATAAATATTAGACGGATCACAGGTTGTAAGGCTACTAAAGATGATTAGTACTTCTCTACTTGTATGTCCAGGCATGTGTCTATAAAGAGAGGGAAAGATACATCCCAACAGATCAAACAAATTATACTAGCTAAAAATTTATCCAAAGGGAGAGTACACATGCTTTATACATTTAAGCTATAAGGTGAGGTAATGAATGTTAATAAAGTTACAGCCAATTCACGATTATTATTTGGTATTAAATTCTAAATTTCAACAGGCAGTGGTGGCACACACCTTTAATCCCAGCACTTGGGAGGCAGAGGCAGGTGGATCTCTGTGAGTCCGAGGCCAGCCTGGGCTACAGAGCTAGTTCTAGGACATTCAGGGCTACACAAAGAAACCCTGTCTCAAAAAACAAAAAAGAAAAAAAAAAAATCTAAATTTAAATCTTTCTCTCAGCAGGGTCTTACTATATAGCCCAAACTCATAAGCTTTCTGCCTTAGCCTCTGGAGTACTGGGATTACTAGCATGCAATGCCATGCCTAGCCATTCAATTCATTCTCAATTTTTATTTTCATAATTCTCGTGCCCTGCTGTGAATTTTGTTGTACTTTTCTAAATCCATTACAGATACACTTTAACTGATAAAATATAAATTAAAAATAACCAACATCAAAATAAAAACCATGCATGACATTTTAGATTTTTCCCACTTAACTTTTGTTAAAACAGGCTTCATGAAGACCCAATACAACTCATAGAAAAAAATTCTGAAACAATTATAAATAATAATATAAACTGGTTATGGTTGTATGTGCCTGTAATCTGAGCACTGCAGAGGTGGAGACAGAAAATGAGGAGTTTAGGTCATCCTCGGCTAACAGCAAGCTGGAGGGCAGCCTGGGCAACATGGGGAATGCCGTCTTGAGAAAGGAAGAAAGGGAAGGGAAGAAGAGAGGAAGGAGAAGGGAAAGAGGAAGGGGAGGAGAAAGAAAGGAAGGAAGGAAGGAAGAAACAAAGAAAGAAATGGGGCCTAGAGAGATGGCTCAGTAGCTACAAGCACGGATGTTCCTGCAGAGGCCCAGAGTTCAAATCTCAGCACGCATGCTGGGTAGGCAGTTCACAAAGGCCTGTAACTCCAGTTCCAAGGGATCTAACTAACACTCTCTTCTGGCCCACTCTGCTCCTGTATACAACACACATATACACCCACACAGACACATAATGAAAAATAAATGTATCTTCAAATACTAACTTCAGGGTTTGCATAGCCATGCTTAAGGAATTATAGAGAGATGGTTCTCCATGACAGGTCATATCTACAGCTTTCTTCAAAGACGTTATGTGTTTCCTGGGATTTCCTGAAGAAAAATGAAATAACCTTTAATAAAAACTCTCTATATAAATATAGAAAAACATGTTGTTTACAACTGTACAAATTTATGATTTTAAAGGAGAATGCCTTCAATTTCTATTTTTATCAATTTGCATTTTTATCAGAAATGTTGGTAGACGGTCTCATTTCATACTGAAATAATGTGTGTATGTATATTACTATATATTACTATATATTTTGCTATATATAGGCACATCTGTATCCATTAATATGCCTTTAAAATTAATATTAACCTAGAGTGAATAATTTTTACTCTGAATATCTCTACATCTTATCATTTGTAAGATCAGTATTTTCATATTTTAGCATCTCTGGAGCAGGAGGATTGCAGGTTCTAGGCCAACCTGGGCTATATAGTGTCAAAAAACAAAACAATAGCAAAAATTTTCTTGAAAGATTTTTATGTAGATGAGCAAAGAAAAAAGCAATGAGATATAAATTTGTATTAGTGAGGTAAATATTCATGAAAAATGTCCTAATTCCATATTTTTCTTGGGGGAAGAAAAACAAGTATTCACAAAGATCTAAAAAAGGAAGACTCAACAAATAAGCAACTGTATGACTTCCTGTAACATCTGAGAGAACTGAAAGACTATCTGAAGAGACTGTCTATGCCCTGCCAATGCTTCTAGAACAGTTGACAGATTATCACCAAGACTCTGTCATACCAACTCACAGGTAACTGCTAGGCTTTTCTACCTTTTCCTGTTTTGTTTTGCTGAATTTTGAGGACCTGAGACTGGATCTTACTACATAGCTCAGAACAACCTCAAACTCACTAACCCAGGGTGGCCTGAACTTGTAATTCTCCTGCTTCAGTCTCCTGAGTATTGGGAATACAGGTTTATATAACATCTGGTTTATTTTTTAAATGGTTTTGGTCTTTTCTAGTATAAACGGTCTACTTTCATTTTCTAACAATCCAGAAAGTGAAATGATGTGTTGAAAGACACAGACCTACCTAATGGTGGGAGCACCAATATCCAAACCTAGACCTCCTGGTTCTCTATTCACTTTCTCCACTACCATCCCACACAAAGTATTTACAAATCCACTGTGAAGTGGGCACAGGGGGAAATGCAGATTACCTCAGTCTCAGTGTGTCTTACAGCAATGGTCTGACTGTAAGGAGAGAGAGAAGCTGTCCAAGAGGCTTATCAGAGTCTCTAAAGGCTATTTCATCTTTTCAATATAGGAATTCACTGGCATCTATGGAAAACTGCTTTGAATTTGAGGACAGGAAGGAAAGAAAGGAGAGTTGACTCATCTTCTTCCTTAGAGGACCACTCCTTTCTCAATCACAAGATAATCCTGTGTAGTCTGTGGTGCTGACCTTCTTCCATTCTGCTATGGGCACAGCATGTAATCTAAGCCAACCAAAAAAACATTTCATCTCCCTGGCTGCTCCAACAGCGATTGGATACACAAACCTTGAGTAAGGCCAATAGAAATGCTACTGAAGTTATGCTGAAGCTATGGACTACACTGGCCATACAAACTTGGTGACTATTAAAAGACATCATTTTTCTTAAGAGAATGAAGTCAGACAAAGCCAGGATCCCTAGAAACAGCTACATGAGAAATCAGCCCACCTTTGAATATATGCCAGTTTCCTTTTGCAGTGAAATTACTTTGATTTGTGGGTTTTTTGTTTTTTGTTTTGCTTTGTGTTTTGTTTTGTGTTGTGTGTGTGTGTGTGTGGCTGTTCTGGCTACACACATGTCTGTGCACCATGTGTGTGCCTGGTGTCCCTTCAGACCAGAAGATGACATCACATAGAACTGGAGTTACAGATGATTATGGGCAGATGTGGGTGCTAGTCCATATTGAACTTGGATCCTCTGGAAGAGCTGCCAGTGTTCTTAACTACTAAGCCATCTCTCTCGCCCCTGGTTTTGTTTCTTATGGTCCTGGTGATTAAACCAGGGCCTTATTTATTAAACCTCATCCCTAACATTCCCTAAGACTATTTAGTGGGGATTATTGTCAACTGATTTCCTGGCACACTTTTGGCAAATGTATATTTGATTCCTTATGACTAGAATAAGAACTATTAGTGAACAAAGTATGTCATCTCCCTTATGTGTACTAATAGAGAAGACTGAGAACCTAATTTAAGGGACAGTATATTTTACAAAATATAGTGATATAAATTTGTAACAGCATTTATAATAAAGGCAAAAGAAATTGCCATTAGTTTTTAAAAATGTCTTATTTATTTACTTATGTGTATGACAGTTTTGCCTGCATGTATGTGGTCAGAAAAGGGTGTCAGGTTCCCTGGAGTAACAGACAGTTCTGAGTGTCCGTGTGAGTGCTGAGAACTAACTCAGGTCCTCTGCAAGAACAAGTGCTCTGAGCCATTTCTATTCATAAATAGCCCAATTCAATTTTTATGCTTTTTAAATTATACATTTTTAGTTTGAAAATTATGTGAATTTTATGAATAGTTAACAATTAGGCTATCTTATTATTTTCAGGATAAGAATGTACATTTAAATAAATGTTTACTTCCAATGCAATACATCCAACACTTCAGAACTCAATTTGAAACAATAGTAGGTCCCAAGAATTCAGTAGAGAGACAGTAAGTTGTTCACGTACAAAGAATAGAAGAAGTTTCACTTTACTTATCAGGGAGCCACATGGGCAAGATTACAGAGTTGAGTAAGCAAAGAGCCTTATAAAGATACTTTTATCATACCTGAGAGTTCAGTCAGTTTTTCAGCTCTTTTACTCTTAGTTACAATTATTCCAATCTCAAAATGAAAACAAAAACATAATTAGTAATTGTAAAAGAAATAAGGAACATACATGAAATGTTTTCTAATGGTGTTTTTGACAAATCAAGCTATGAATAGACTATGTATTATTAAAACACAGTACATGTTTAACTTTTAGTTATTTTGCTCTTCACTATTAAGTATACCAAAAACAGGTATATAATCTGGTTTCCTTAATACTTCACAGAATATATACCTCATATTTAAAAATAAATTATATTTGGCAGCAAAATGGGAATCTAGTTCTGAATTCTACCATTTATCTACATACCTGACTGATAGGATTTTGATCAAAATATTCTTCTACAAAGTATTCCAACAACTGTTGAAAGAAAATTAAAAGGAAGTATTATATAAAGGCAAAGCAGCGACAATAAAAAACATGTCAGTGTTCTGTAGAATCTATTTATTAAGCAGCACTTCTCACAACTTTTAGAAGAGACAAGGATATCAGTGAGACAGCGTCTCACTCTGCACATCTGTCTACCCTCACTCACTCTCACTGTGCACATCTGTCTACCCTCACTCACTCTCACTGTGCACATCTGTCTACCCTCACTCACTCTC